AACTAAAAATTGCCTCTTCCATGTCCAAGATGGCACCCAATAAAGGATTGAGCAACTAAGCTTAGAACTGCCCTGTCCACAAATAACCATCCTATTGTTATGGGCATATTGTCATGGGCTCGGCGGTCCTGGGAGGCCCGGACTGCTCTGGGAGTTCTGGGCCCCACGCCCCACATTCCCTAGGTGCATATATATATATATACAGCGATTTTTACTACATATACATGTGCAGCTGCGGGCCCCCCGCTCCCTGTTTACTGCAGAGGGGGCCCAGCACACTCGGTCTTCAGTTCCCAGCAGCTCCTCTATCTCTAACTCTCGCAAGCCGTGGCCAGCAGAGTGTTGCCACAGTTTACCATGGTAACGCCTTGCGCGGCACGCAGGCCAGTCTCGCGAGAGTTAGAGGCATAGGAGCTGCTGGGAACTGAAGACCGAGTGTGCTGGGCCCCCTCTGCAGTGTGCTGGGCCCACCTGCAGTAAACAGCTCCTGGCTTTGAGCACCATGCCACCAGACCACCAGGGAATGTGATCTCCTCCCTCCCAGGTAAGAAGCAGAGAGGGGGAATAAAATAAAATGTTGTTTTAAAGAAATGTTTAAAAAAATGAAAATGCTCACCACATACCACCTATTTTACACACACTACATGCCTACAAACACTCTGCATTCATTATATACAAACACTACATCTACTATACAAACACACATGCTGCATGCACTACACACACTGCATCTAATACACACTAACACTACATCAACTACACAAACACACTCTGCATTCACCATACACACTGCATCTAATACACACAAACACACATTCTGCATTCACTATACACACACTATATCCACTACACAAACACACACGCTGCATGCACTACATACCCTGCATCTAACACACACTAACACTACATTCACTACACAAACACACTCTGCATTCACTATACACACTGCATCTAATACACACTAACATTACATCCACTACACAAACACACATTCTGCATTCACTATACACACACTACATCCACTCCACAAACACACACGCTGCATGCACTACATACACTGCATCTAATACACACTAACACTGCATCCACTACACAAACACACACTCTGCATGCACTATACACACTGCATCTAATACACACAAACACTACATCCACTACACAAACACACATTCTGCATTCACTATACACACACTACATCCACTACACAAACACACAAGCTGCATGCACTATACACACTGCGTCTAATACACACAAACACTACATCCACTACACAAACACACATTCTGCATTCACTATACACACACTACATCCACTACACAAACACACACTCTGCATTCACTATACACACACTACATCCACTACACAAACACACAAGCTGCATGCGCTATACACACTGCGTCTAATACACACAAACACTACATCCACTACACAAACACACATTCTGCATTCACTATACACACACTACATCCACTACACAAACACACAAGCTGCATGCACTATACACACTGCGTCTAATACACACAAACACTACATCCACTACACAAACACACATTCTGCATTCACTATACACACACTACATCCACTACACAAACACACACTCTGCATTCACTATACACACACTACATCCACTACACAAACACACAAGCTGCATGCGCTATACACACTGCGTCTAATACACACAAACACTACATCCACTACACAAACACACATTCTGCATTCACTATACACACACTACATCCACTACACAAACACACAAGCTGCATGCACTATACACACTGCGTCTAATACACACAAACACTACATCCACTACACAAACACACATTCTGCATTCACTATACACACACTACATCCACTACACAAACACACACTCTGCATTCACTATACACACACTACATCCACTACACAAACACACAAGCTGCATGCGCTATACACACTGCGTCTAATACACACAAACACTACATCCACTACACAAACACACATTCTGCATTCACTATACACACACTACATCCACTACACAAACACACAAGCTGCATGCACTATACACACTGCGTCTAATACACACAAACACTACATCCACTACACAAACACACATTCTGCATTCACTATACACACACTACATCCAAGTACACAAACACACAAGCTGCATGCACTATACACACTGCGTCTAATACACACAAACACTACATCCACTACACAAACACACATTCTGCATTCACTATACACACACTACATCCACTACCCAAACACACATTCTGCATTCACTATACACACACTACATCCACTACACAAACACACATTCTGCATTCACTATACACACACTACATCCAAGTACACAAACACACACTCTGCATTTAATATACGTGGGCAGACTTAATATATGTGGGCAAACTTGAGGGTGGACCCCACGGACCCAGAACTGGCGCTGTGTCATCGGCCCCAAAATTTCTGTTGGCAGCCCTGCTGGAAGCTATGCTTTAAGATTGGCTACTCTGACCTTAAATTGTAAATTTACTTTGATTTCAAACATGAATTCTCACTTAAGTAAATAATTCTGTAAGATATTTACAGTTATCACTTTTACAATTACAATATACAGCACACAGGAGATGGCTACGCCAAGTTTCCCTCAGTGATATGACACAACAGGATCCGTTGTATGAAAATGCTTACAGGACATTTTTTGTCAAGACATAATTTGATCTTTAACTGCATAAATACAACACAATACTAAATTATATACTAACAAAATTGTAATCGCTGCTTAGCGTGTCAAGGGTTATAAATAACAAATTTAAAGAGTGCTTCACTAAACCAAGAGTTGTTGACGTGGGAAACGACTTGTAAATTGCAAATTATAGGTCAACATTATCAAGATGGCATAATGAGTTTGATAATTGCTCCAGTTGAGTTATTTTGGCTAGAATTTTCCATCTCAGGATAATCCCCTTCAGGCATGCTATGGATAGTCTTATATGATGATGTGTTTGACACGTTATTGATTTAGAACTTTCTCTGAATGTGAAAATTGTGTGCACTGCATCCACTGACGCGTTCACATAGTCACAAGAAAATTGTGACACATCACATCTGTTCTGCCTTCTGTCTGCCTGAAGAAAGCGTACATTCTGAAAAATGGCCAGTGACCAAAAAATGATCAGGTTACAGTAAACCGTGCTTTAAAATGCTGAGCTCCTTGATCATTGATCATATTCCACTCATTTTATCCTTATATTTGCTAATCTCTGAATTTGTTCTTTTATAAAATTCATGAGAATGTTGAGAAATTATTTATTTTTTAAGGAGTTTTCAAACAAAGTTTAGGGATTTATAGCCCACACAGGTAACAATTACACCCATAAAACTATTTTTTGTTTTTATATTTATATTTCAACTTAACTGTAAATCCACACACCAATAATTATTTAGCAAATAAACTTTTGAACAAAAACTTTTTAAATGTTAAATATGTTGTTCTTCAATAAATATAAAGAGATAATAAGCAGGATGACTCACGGTTCTTACTAATAGATGGACACAGCCATTGGACTCACAGGACATGCAATAGCAAACTGACACTTACTTTACCTGATTAAAGAAATCCACTTCAAGACTTATTCGCAATAGCAGCTTCTCTGAGATTGTCCAGACCCCATGTTAACTCAGTGCTTGGATGACTATTGAAGGCAAGCGTTGCTTTATAAATTCTGACACTTTTTACTTTGTTTATCCTGAAAGCAATTTCACCACTTTCAAAACCCTTTTGAAAACAGGCAGCATACGCAGGCACCTTCTGCGGTTAATTTTAGCCACAAGTCTCCTGTGTTCCTTTTAGTGTTGTCCCATGTCACAACCTTGGCAGCGAAGTCAACAGATCTGTCGAGTACAGAGCATGCCGTAGATCTATTTTTCCAGCAAGTGTTTATATATATAATAATTAGACTTAGCAGGACCTTTACTTAAAGTAAAAAAAAAAAAATATTCCTGGCTCCTCTGGAAGAAAGATCTCGACTTGAGTTCCTTGTCCTACAGTGACTGCAACACAAGAGCTTTGTAAACAGTGTGTAATTCTGTTATTGTCGTGATAAATCGGCTACTTTAAAGTACTCCTTAAAGTGACATTATTTTTTTTTATTTTTTTTTATGCATAATGCCACCAGATTATTTAGAAATTATTGTGCAAACACTTTCACTTTAGTGGAAGATAATTAAAGACATTGTAAGATCATCCAACTTTTGCAGGTCTGACATTAGATAAAAGAGAGAGAGGGGATGAGCAGGTCAGAGTCCTTCGTTGAAGTGCCAAGTAGAAAGGGCATACCTAGCATGTGCCTGCGTCCCAGGGTCCAAGTCCGGGCATCCAATCAGGCCTGCCTATACAGCGAGATTTGCTGAAGGATTCACATATGGGCTTAAATGCCCGAAATCCCCCCAAAAATCTACACTTGCCCTCAGCCCTCAGCAAGTCTGATTGAGAGGTCTGAGAGAAATAGTGGGTGAAAAAAATTGATCAGGCGACTTTGCTTACACGCGCTTTACGTCTATAAGATAACAAAAACATATAAGGTTATTCACAAAACTGCGAATTGTCAGAAATTAGTGAGGTCATTTCAATGTAAGGTGAAAATAGCTGAGCTGGAAAAAGTTCATGTAGATAATGTCTCCAGACTATTCTCCGTAGCAAAAAGCACAAAATAATAGAGTAAAACCCAACTCATTCTTCTACGGTTCCCAGCTCTAGGAGAATTGGACGATCATTTGCCAGAGATTCAAATTCAAAGCCAAACCTCTCAGTATATTTCTAACTGTAAAGCCAAGGATTTTGCATTAAAAAAAAATATTCGGCACAAGAAAATGATCTTTAAATCACAACATCTGCGTCACATATGTGTGGACTTGGACAGCACCAAAAATGTAGACCTGATGTCTATGAGTTTGCTGTAAAATCTGCCCAGTTTGGGATGCTACCTTGTCAACCTATAATGTTTTAAATATATAACATTTGGATTTTCAGGACCATTCCCCATTGTACAGCGCTACAGAATCTGATGGCGCTATATAAATAATAAAATAATAATAATAATTCCAATCTGTATAACTCTTCCTCTCTTTTAGTCAGTATTTCCAGTCGAGCAGTTAACCCCTGCTTTTGATCAATAATTACAATCAAATTATGGCTCCATTTAATACTGCCAGTAAAGACCTATTTTAAGTCAAAATTTCCAGTTTGGTCCCAATTACGGCCCTTTTTCCAGCCCTGATTCTGACACTCCTAGTATATATCCTGTTTAAGTTCTCCAATACTCATTAGCAGTGGCGGATCCAGAGGCTTATCCCAGGAGGGGCACACACAGATTATTTAAAGAAACAATCCAGGAACAATAACCACTACAGCTCTCCCCCGAGGCTGGCCCTGCTGTCACCCCACGGCCGGTCCTGCAGGCGCGCGAGGGAGCACTGTCCCCTGAGTGCTTCCTCTTCAGCTCCCTCGCGCGCAGTGTACTGATACCGGAGCCGGAAGATGACGTCATTTTCCGGCGCCGACATCCTTACGCGGCGCGCGAGGGAGCTGAAGAGGAAGCACTCAGGGGAGAGTGCTCCCTCGCGCGCCCGCCAGCCCGCCCACCTGCCCAGTGACCGGCCGCCCAGGAGCCCAGCAGCACCACTGGACCCCAGGGAATCCCCTCACTCAGCACTCCAAAAGGTAAGGAGGCTGGGGGATTAAATTAAAAAAAAATGTGTGTTAGTGTTAGTGTGTGTGTTAGAATGTGTGTTAATGTGTTTGTTAGTGTGTGTGTTAGTGTGTGTGTTAGTGTGAGTGATAGTGCGAGTGTTAGTGTGAGTGTTAGTGTGTGTGTTAGTATTAGTGTGAGTGTTAGTGTGTGTGTTAGTGTTAGTGTGTGTCTTAGTGTTAGTGTGTGTTAGTGTTAGTGTGTGTGTTAGTGAGTGTTAGTGTGTTAGTGTTAGTGTGAGTGTGAGTGTTAGTGTAAGAGTGTTAGTGTGTGTGTTAGTGTGAGTGTTGGTGTGTGTGTTAGTGTAAGTGTGCGTGTTAGTGTTAGTGTGTGTGTTAGTATGAGTGTTAGTGTGTGTGTTAGTGTGAGTTTTAGTGTTAGTGTGTGTTAGTGTGAGTGTGAGTGTTAGTGTGAGTGTTAGTGTGAGTGTTAGTGTCTGTGTTAGTGTGAGTGTTAGTGTGTGTGTTAGTGTGAGTGTTAGTGTGTGTGTGAATGTTAGTGTGTGTGTTAGTGTTAGTGTGTGTCTTAGTGCAAGTGTTAGTGTGTGTGTTAGTGTGAGTGTTAGTGTGTGTGTTAGTGTGTGTGTTGTGTGAGTGTTAGTGTGTGTGTTAGTGTTAGTGTGAGGATAAGTGTGTGTGTGTTAGTGTGTGTGTTAGTGTGAGTGTTAGAGTGTGTGTGTCTTCTAGTGAGTGTCAGTGAGTGTGTCTGTTGAGTGTGTGTCTACTAGTGAGTGTCAGTGAGTGTGTTACTGTGTGTGTCTGTTACTGAGTGTGTTTGTGTGTGTGTTAGTGAGTCTGTTTGATGTCTGTTAGTGAGTGTGTGTTTGTCAGTAAGAGTGTATGTTTTGTAAGTGAGTGTGTATTTATGTCTGTCGCTGAGTGTGTCTCTGTCAGTAAATGTGTGTGTCTGTTAGCTAGTGTGTATGCGTCTGTTCATGAGAGTGTTTGTTTGTGTCTTCAGCACTTACCTTTCTCCAGCGCCATACTCCCTTGGCGCTGGGGACCCCTCCGCCTCTCAGTTACGAATGCGCATGCGTGGCAAGAGCCTCGCGCGCATTCAAACCGCCCATAGGAAAGCATTACTCAGTGCTTTCCTATGGACGTTCAGTGTCTTAGAATCGCGGAAGCTCCTCTAGCGGCTGTCAGTGAGACAGCCACTAGAGGCTGGATTAACCCTCAGTGAAACATAGCAGTTTTCAGCTGCAGTGTTAAAACTAGAGGGACCTGACACCCAGACCACTTCATTGAGCTGATGTGATCTGTGTGTCTGTAGTGGTCCTTTAAGTGTGTGTGTATCTGCATGCACTGGCGTACATACCGT